TTGTGAACTTTTAGCTGTGAGGTCATCTCTCCAGGATGCACTTCATTTCAATGTTTTTCATAAGATCAGCTGGTTTCAGTGACATAAGCTCTAGAGAATGAATGAAGACATTATGAGATTTCTCAGTAGGGTTAGGTTTTTGTTTTTAAATGTTATCAAACTGGTGACATGCTAAATGTTCAAAACCTCACTGTAATTATTCAGCCACAGATAAGGCTGCACTTCCTTGTTTTAAAGGCAGGCACTTGCAGATGGGCCCTCGGGCACAAAGGGCCCCACATGACACGTGCACATGCATGGTTGCATCCACATATGACTCAGCTAAACCCTTGCACTCATGCATGTGTCGCCTGTCATCTATTGCCACACCAACTCCAATGTTGTCTGGGTGATATGACTTATGTCATTATACCGGGCGGGAGCTACGTGTCCCATGGGACTATGCTTCCTGGAGGTCAATGGCAGATGGCCCAGTATTGGCCGCCCTTGAGGCATAGACAGGTTTCTCTATTAGCTGGCTATGTGAGATATGGGCTTTGCGCAATCTCTTTTATAATAATGATATTTTATATATCTACAAGACAAGGATTATCTCTTCAGGAACAGCTCTGGGATAGGGAAGCACAGTATGGGAATGTATAAGACTACAGCAGAACCTTTGTCATACATGGGGTGTATGATGAGCAAGGGAATAGTTGTGTTAATGTAAATGGACAAAGAGTGTTATACTTTGAACTTTATGGATAGGCTTGCTAGATCCCAACCCTTATGGTGTCTGCTGCATAAGATGGTACTAAAAAGTATATTTCAACAGGTGCAGAGAACTGATTAGTCATATTTGTTCACTACATGAGATAAAGAAAGGGTTAGAAAGAGGAAAGGCCATGATAGAGATAATGAGACAGAAACTTTCTATTCTTAAGATGAAACCACTTGTCTGAGGTTTACATTCCCAAGGACAAGATTTCCTCTTCTAAGGATGCTTTATGTCTAACACCTGTTCCTGATAATACACTTTTCTTAAATATCGCTGATATGACTAAAAGTAGCATTCATTCTGTGCCAACCAATGATACATGACCTTCTGATTTGTTCTTTGTTTGAATACTATATAATGAAAACATGAATTCAGTAAAATCATAGCAGATTCCAACTACTCTCTTGTGTGTTGTGTCTGTCTGTCATTTGCCGAACTTGTGCCTTCCTGTTACCAAGACCCTGCTTCTCCCATGGTCTGAGTGGCTCCCCTGAGGTGGTCCGTGGCAATCTAGGTCATCAGTGTGACCTAGTCATGCCAACCTCCTGTGCACATGTGCTAGGCAGCTTTTAAAAGCTGGACATGCCCCCACCTCTCTCTGCACACCAATCCCCAGGCCTGTACTCACCCCTTTCTAATAAACTCCTAAGCGGGTTTGTCGTTATTTTGTGTTTTCTTCTTTCTTGCACCAGGTAATTACACACATTGATGCCCATTTATAACAGGTTATGTCATGATTTTATGTGATTTATATTCACTACATTGAAACAAGTCATATAAATGGATTTCAATTTTTGTACATGGACTGACACTGAGAAAAGAACCTTATTTTGTCACAGCATTTGGTGTTTCCCATTTTGTTGAAGCCCACAATAATATACAATGAATGCACAGATGAGAGACCAATAGGCAGATCCACAGGAAGTGAATACATGTATGTCCATATAAAACAAATAGTCTTGCAGAGCTGCAGGAACACTGTCTTTTGGAAAAGTCACTGTCACATCTGTGGATGTGAAACCATGATTCTTCCCTTTGAAATGGGATTTGTTCACAAAACACCTCAGCAGTGTGACTTCTGTGTGGCAATGGAGTGACCGTGCTCCATTCCCCCACACACCAGGAGGCCTTAGAGAGATAATATTCATTCTTTGTTCTAACAGTTCCTGAGCTTCCAATATGTCTCCCCAACTCAGACTAGAAGTCTGGTTCTGCCTATGACTCTCTTGGGCTTCCCAACTCCAAGAACTGCTGCAGACCTGGGATAAGGAGAGGGCTGCAGTTCCTTATCACTGGGTAGAGTTCACTCTGTCCTCATCCCTGTGCCAGGCTTCTGTCTTTATCACTGGGCCAGGCTACACCCTGCTGTTGGAAGAGGTCTATTATCTCTCTGACTCAGAGTTCTGGGATTAAAGGAAAAGTACTCCAGCTAGGGGAGGGTTCAGAGTCCTTGGGTCTTAGTAAGGGCTCTTGTGTTAATAATTCACCTCAAGTCCATCTGTAAAGAGAAAGAGAATACAAAGTTAATCAGTAAATGAGAAGTCACTCTCCAGGTGTTACCACAATTGCTGACGTGGACACTTGTAGTGATCCAGCAAGATTTTATGAAGGATATTAAAAGAGAGTGGGACCTAAGAGCAGGGGCTAGGGGTGAAAGGGAGAGAAAGAGGCATAAGGAGGGGAAGAGAGAGGGATGGGGAGAAACAGAATGGAGATAGATTGGAAGGGGAGAGAGGCAGAAAAGGATAAAAAGTGGAACAGCGAGAGGGATCAGAATTTGAAGGTTTTTTTTTTCTTTTTTTCTGAGACAGGGCTCCTCTGTAGCTATGAATCCTGTCCAGGAACTAGCTCTTGTAGACCAGGCTGAGCTCAAACTCCAGAGATCCACCTGCCTCTGCCTCCTGGGTGCTGGGATTAAAGGTGGGAGCCACCACTCCTGGACCAGGATTTGAAGTTTTTATGTGATTTTATGGAAGACAGGGTGTGCTACTGGATGGATTAAAAGCCTTCCATGACTTTGTTTTAAGCTGCCAGGCTTTGTCTTAGGTCAAGATGATGAGGAAGAAATGAATGAGGACCAAAACCAGGTGACTTCACTCGTTAAGAAAGACACTGATGAAAGATTACCTTCAGCTTGGGCAGAAAAGATGGTATTGTGTTACCTTTAGCTACCTCCTGCACTATAAAAACCTCAGGAGATATACTTTTATATTTTTCTTTTGTACCTCAAACTTGTGCTGACATCCGAGGAAATAACTGCTTTTGTAACAAGATTTGTTTGTCATCCTTTTTTTTTTGGGGGGGGGGGAGGAATGCCAGTTCCCAATAATAATGATATGGAGACTTATTATTAATTATCAAAGTTTGACCTTTAACTTAGACTTATGCCAAACTAGCTCATATAACTTAATCCATTTTTATTAAACTTCATTCTGCTATGCAACTTTTTACCTGTTCTTTATTCTATATGTCCAACTCCCTCTTTGTCTCACTTGTACCTCCTTTTTTCTTAATTCCAGAGTTCCTCTCTTTCTTCAGAAATCCTTCCTATACTGTCTTGTCTAGCTATTGGCCGTTTAGCTTTTTATTAAACCCATCAGGTGCTTTAGGAGGTGAGACAAAACATAAACATATTTTCATGTAGTGTAAAAATTTTTCTTTAACATACTTGCACATCAAAAAATCTGGGTGATACTCGTCTCCAACTACATTGACATTTGAGTACCCCAAATACCTGAATTCAAAACCCCTCTGATTCTATATCTGTTAACTCATATTTTTATAATATGCATAATATATTTGTATTTAATATGATATATTGCTATATTGATTTTATATTATGGTTATATTTTATATAATTAATATATTGATTTTTATTAATTTTTAAAATATTTCAACTAATTTCATTTTATGTGCATTGATGTAAGGGTGTCAGATCTCCTGGAACTGGAGTTACAGAGAATTGTGAGCTGCCATGTGGGTACTCAGAATTGAGCCCGGGTTCTCTGGAAGAGCAGCCAATGCTGTTAACCAATGAGTCATACCTCCAGCCCCTAAATCTGTAGTATTTTTTTTAACTTAACCTTGACTGGCCTGGATCTCCCTCTGTAGACCAGGCTAGTCTTAGATTCATAGAGATCCACCTGTCACAGCCTCCCTAGTTCTGGGGTCAGTGTCACATGCTACCGTATCCATCACTCTAATATTTTATTCTAGTATTTTAAAATTTTTCTGACATGTTTACAATTTTCCTTTGCATATGTTTCTAAATGATTAAAAACAATGCTAAATTTTTGTTTGTTTGTTTAGGACAATGATATTCTGTTGCTATATTTCTGGGGCACCTGCATTCTAAATCCAAATTCTTCCAGCCTGTGATCCCAGCTCTGGAGCAAACTGACACCTTCTTCTGACCTCTTCAGGCACCTGCACTCACAGGCACAGACACACAGACAAGCATACCCACATAGATATAATTAAATACAACACAATAATCTTAGAAAAACTCCAACTCTGCTTCATAAACTGTTTAGTCCTGAAATTCTTCTTGTCATCAAAGCTATGAACCTTGGTTTGGCCTGAGTCAAAAGACCCTGGAAATCTAGGGAAATAATTCTTAACCTGTGGGTTTTGACTTCTTTGCGGGTATGGGGGTTGAATGACCATGTCACAGGGATCACATATCAGATATCCTGCATATCAAGTTACATTTTGATTCAGAACAATAACAAACTACAGTAGCAATGCAATAATTTTATGGTTTGGGTCACCACAGCATAACGAGCTGTCTTAAAGATGCACAGCATCAAGAAAGTTGAGAACCACTGATCTAGAGGCATTTCTTGGACTAGTGAGGATGGCCATGGGATGTGTTTTTCTGTCCCCACACCACTAACCAAACATTTTCATATTGGAACCTGTTGTTATGAGAGAGCCTGAATCAGTCATAACTGTCTTCAGAATAAACAATCTCTTGTTCCCAGAGAGGAGAGAAATGTGTTCACTGACTGTGGACAATGTGCTTCCAGCTCTCTCCATTCTGACACTCTGTCTCCTAGACAGTCTCTGGATCCTTAGCACACAGAATCCTGAGACCTGGCTCTGGTGCCCCTTTCTTCAGTGATGTCCTCAGCCTGGGATTCACCCTCCAGAGGTTCACTGACTTTTTTTATTCAAAGTAGGAAGGGTTGGCAATAGAGGAGGAGGAGTTTGCTGATATAAAACACAAGTAGCCTGCAGAGAACCGCCCCTGAAGCAAAAGCAGTGTTTCATCTTCTCAGTGTTTACAGTTTCTTTCTTGTTGTCACTGAAACAACTTGTGGGCTCTAAGATGAGTGCTGCAGGACCTGCAGAGGCTTCTGTGGGCATGCTCAGTACCACAGACAGTCTGAAGGAAGGAGAGCTGGGTATGTATTTAATGCATATTCGAATTTGAATGAACTACAAGAGCAGAGAGGTGCTTGCCAGGAAAGGAAATAGAAGCAAAGGGCAGAAGAGCTGAACCTCACACTTGTGAGCCTGTTACAGTGGGTTTCTGCAAAACCAAAGAATGCAGACAGGAGTTTAGTTAGCTAATAGGTTTTTATATCTTTATATTGCTATTCTATTGCAGCATATAATATTTAAATAGTTCTCACGCAAGATAAATGAAGAGTGAACTGCAATACAAAAGCTTTTTTTTCTTTTTTTCTTTCTTTTTTTTTCCTTTTTCTTTTTTTGTGTGCTAGTTTATGCTTTTCAAAGGGATCTGGTAAATGACACTCTGGTGAATCACACCAAGTCCCTGTGGAACAGGCTTGCTCTACAAGACCAACAGCAAAGGCAAATTCAAACAATAACAGCTCTGCAGTGCACAATGACAGGAGGTGCCTGGGAAAAGCTGGGGCTTTTGCTTTGCAGATCCACTGAGATGGAAAAAGATGTAAGGAGGAGGCAGGAGGCCTGGGGTCCAGGTTGACCCCATCCAGAACCAAATCCTCTGTATTTTGAGCTCCTAGTAACTTATAGAAAAAACAACTACTTTAGTCTTCAGGAAGGAAGTAAAATTGTGTTTCTTGCATTTTGAACATGTCTATGCATCATTATATTTCACTGTTTTATCTTCCTTTTTCCTTCTTCCCAGTCCCTCCACCTTAATTGTTTTCATTTAGGAAAAGATACTGGATTTTGAGAAAACTAGATTGATATTTACCAAAATGCCAAATTCATGACAATATATTAATGCTTATCACAAACCAAGTATTCTCCTAACTGAAACATTATCATCATCATCATTATTATTATTATGTATTGATGTTGTTGCTGCTGCTTCTCCCTGTTGCTGATAGACTAATTCTTTGAGACAGTCTCATAGTATTTTTCAAGCTGGCCGATAACTTCTTCTCCCTTTGCCCCAGCAGGGTTGACTTTTGAAACCAAATACTTACCCAGTTATCTGTTGCTAACGTGGAGCTCCTGTCCAAAGGGCAGATATTGTGTAATTGGAGGCATTCTGCAACTTGTAATTTATCTCTCATTTGAAACCATAGTTGGTTCTCTGAGTGAAGCAGGGTTTTTGTTTATTTGATTGTTTTTGTTTTTGTTTTTCAAGACAGGGTTTCCCTGTGTAGCCCTGGCTATACTGATCTCTCTCTTGTCGACCAGGCAGCCCTCAGACCCAGAGATCTGCCAGCCTACCTCTGCTTCCTGAGTGTTGGGATCACCAGCACACACGCACACACACACACACACACACACACACACACACACACACACAAAGCTAAAACTCAGAGCAGCAATGCTTCATTTCTTTGTTTATTGGGAGCTCATTTTTAATATTGGTAATATTGTGGACTGTCTATTCAGAGGTTTTAAGCACAATGCTAAACTCAGAATGCATCGGTAAGTATAGACATTTCAAGCTTGAAGGTGTCTAGAAATCTAGGGATAGGGTGACAAGAGGAATAGAAAATTGATGAAAATTGATTTCTCACATGCAGACCAGTGTTGGACTGGGTAGTGAGTACATGAGAATTTAGCATATTTTTATTTATTTTTATAAAGGCTTGCAATTCTCAAAAGATAGTGACTTGTTTTAAAATGATAAAAAAAAAATAGAAGAAAACATGAGGGATGACTTACAGATGACTGACTTTCAGGAGCCTGATAAGAATAAGAGCAGCTCCACCTGTGCAAGAAATCCAATTAAATCAAATCAAACCAAATCAAAATGTCCATTGTTTTATTAAGGATGACGGGCTCTTGGGTTGCTGAGTGCATGATAGGGAGACAGGTCAGCAAGGAGCGATGCAGATCCCAAAACCAAGTGTTCCTTCTCTAGGAGGCTCCTTAAATACCCTGTGGGATTGGGATTTGCATGCTGGGATTTGGAGTCCAGAGCAAAGCAACTCCTAGACCAAGGACTGGGGCTATGCCCCCAACTTAACAGAGACCAGTGAAACAAAGGGGTCATTATTGGGGAGATTAAAGGACAATTTGAGTATCATCTTAGTAGAAAGAAAAAATAGAAATGAACTTTGGGAGTTTTGTATGTAGTCAAAATCCAAGGGACATTATAAAATGCTTACAATCCTCTAATCCTAAGCATTGTCTTTCTTGTTAGTTTAAGCGTCAGTTCTCTCCTGACTTGGAGATATATACTCATGTCAGACATATGCTCATGTATCCATCACAGTGAAATATAGACCTATAGCTCCACTCAAATTCCTCTGAGGCACATTGCAGATTCTTCCCAGTGACTTCTTTCCTCTGACCTGACATTTGTTTTTCCAGAAACTGTCCCCATGGATCCTACAGTCTGGTAGTCATTTCACCTATCTCTCCTACATAGCTGCTGTCCATTCAGCTCTTGATTAAACCAATCAGAAAGGGCCTTGGCAGAGACACATCTTCACAGTGTACAAATATTCTGCAACACAGACATATATGTAGGCAAATCAACCATATGCAAAAAATAAAAATATAAAGTTAAAAAGAATGACAGATCTTGCCTGTTTCTTTGAAATGCCCTATATCCATAAATGTGTTTGGAAGAATTTCTTCAATTCCTAACCTATTGAGAGTTTTTTTATTTTGGAGTAATATTAATTTTTGCATGATTTTTGTAAACTTGTTGAAATGGTCCCATATTTCACCCATTAATTAAGTCAATGCTGTCTATTATATTTATGTGTTGTGTATGCTTACTAAATTTTTACTTACTAGGTTCTTTGAAATTGATCCTTATAAGCCACGTTGGGCTCAAACCTCTATTGTATCCAAGGCTCGTCTTGCACCCCCGACTCTCCAACTTCTGCCTATCTAGCACTTAAACTGCAGAAGTGTACTAACTTATCTGTCTCGTTAACTGGAGCAGGAGTTATAAAGACAGTCATGAGCAAACTTGAGTCCTCTAGAAGATTAACAACTCTTCTTAACCTCTCAGCTATCTATATCTCCAGCATCTTGCTGATCCCTATGACCTCCAACCCCCATGGTGTTTCCCTCAATCCTAACCAGTCTATTCTTAAGGAACTAACTCCACAGGTGGTTTTTGTTGTTATTTCTTTTTCATCTTGATTTTCACTATTTCTGTTTCTTACCCCTTTATTGGTTCATAGTGCAAAAACTGGAAGACTCCATGGCAACACTTCTGTTTTCCTTTCTTCTACTTTTCTATGAGCCATAGACATCATTTCTAGACCAAGACTTTTTGAAAAGGATGTTTTCAGAGGAGGAGTACAAGCCAAACCAACAGGTTATTCTGAGTAAATTTATATTTTTCCCTAAAAGGTTCTTGAGACTGACATTCTTATATTGATATTTTTCAGGTAAAAGTCTCAAAAGAAAATACCTCAGAATCATCTCTCACGTGCATCCTGCTAAGCTTTATTGCTGCTATGCAGTGATCATCATCCTCACTGTAGCTGTAATTGTACTTTCTGTTGCTTTGTCAGTTGTAGGTGAGTGACATTCTCCAGATTTTCATCAGTCTGTCCACATCCACACTGTCAGTTACACTTACCGAACACCATGAGTCTGGTACTGTGTGAAAGCACACTAGAAATTCCTGTTCTCTAGGAACTTAGGGTCTAGCCAGAAGATACAGAGAAGGAAGAGCACAGGCTATAATATGCACAGGAGACCAGGCTCAGCATCCCTGGGAAAATGACATATAGTAACCTCTAGAGAGATGTAGGAGATATATGTCCACCTTGGGAAACTATTCAAGGTAGAGAACAAGGGAAGCAACACACATAGGAGGAAGCTAAAGGAAATACGAGGACAGAAAAAAGGAATATGGCCAGGATAACACAGCACCCCCCTATTACCCATTGTGTTAGTTACTATATTCAACTGTACTTTTGAAAGTATTCAATGAAAGGTTTTTAAGGTGATCAATTTATAGAATTTTAGAACTACACTGTTCAGAATAGTATAATAAAATCTTGTACTGTTGCCATCTGGGTGGGGGGTGGTCCTTTTTCCCTTTTGGCCAGTTTGCCACCAAGTTGAAAGGGCAAAGATAAAGAAGAGGTGACAGAAGTTTTATATACCATACATAAGCACAGATGAAGAGAGGCTTCTATGAAACAGACTTAGTTGGATCAGCTCAACTTCATTCCAGAATATAATGAATATATAGGTTTGGGGAACCTATGGACAAATCATGGTGTGGTCCTATCACAAGACCTTGTATGTGAGCATTAAGGTCCTTTACTAGAGATCCTAGCACAAGTCTTCTTAGCAGGGCTCTGTATCAAGCGTCAAGCTAAAGATGAATCAAGCATCTGGTTTTAAAGACAAGCATCTGGTTTAGAAACAGCTTTTAGATAAGATTAGTCCTCCAGGCCTAGGGACATCCTTCATATAAGGTTATACAGAGAGCAGGAAGCTTAGTTGGAGAGGGAGGAAGTTCCATATTGCCAAGCTTAGAGAGAAAGCTGCTAGGCTATGGCAGGCTGTGACCTGTAATGAGCCAGCATGTATTCCAACATATGAGCAATTCCTTAGTACATCAGGTCCACACTGTATATATTACCTTCCCAATAGTCCTCACTGTTATCTCAATTATCAGGCTGACTGTCAAAATAGGTGTCCATACAGAGTGTTTGTTGCTATAATGACCCCTTTTGTAGGGAACAATCATAAAGCACAGAAAGTGATGTTATTATATAAATTCACTTCCTGGGTGCCCTATTGTCAGTGAGCACCTGAGAGAGTTTGTGGCATAGGCCTGGGCTGGGATGCCTTCAGATAAAGGATCATCATCCTAAGGAAATGACTCCTACAGATCAGTTAGGTAAATTACAGTCAAATTCATACCTCATACCTGAACTGAGTAGGGTATGCCAATTCTTGTTATAATTCATTTTATTGTCCAAATTTTAGAAAGAAGCCAACAACAGGCCTCAACCAAAGAAACATATGCTGCTTGCCCAAGAAACTGGATTGGAGTTCGGAATAAATGTTTTTATTTTTCTGAAGACTCAAGTACTTGGACATTAAGCCAGAAATTCTGCCTGGAACAAAAGGCCCAGTTAGCTCGATTTGACAACATAGAGGAGCTGGTAAGAAAGGATCAGGAATTTTTTTGATTCTTCTGTTGAATATGTATCGCCTTGAGATATACTGGTGAAAGATGAAGCATAAGGAAAGATCCCACAACTTTCAGATGGAGACATGGGGAACACATGAGTGTGTCCATTTGCTAATGGCAACACTTCTGATTGGAGCCCTGAGACATTCAAGCAACATTTTCTCAAGTAGTGCTCATAGTCAACCTGAAAGATCGGATATGCCATTTTACTGAGATACCTGCTGGTGATAAGCATTTTTCTCCAAGCCAACAAATGCTACATCCTAAGGTGATAACTGTTAATAACTGCAAGGGGAGGCTTAACCAGGGACTAACTCAGCCATGAGGACTATGTCATTAAACTTGGTACTTTAATTCAAATGAGGTACTTAAGAATTATGGCTGTCAACAGGATCTTCTGAGAAATGAGGGGTATTATCACTCCAAAGTCTATGTCTCTCAGTTGCATTTTCCTGTCATCTATATAGGAAGCTGTGGGTAGAAACACTCAAGGGTCGTCTGAAACAGAGAGACACATATATTCACTTTCCATGTTTTATGACAGAATTTCCTGAAAAGATACAAAGGGACCTCTGACTACTGGATTGGCCTGCATAGAGAGTCACCAGAGCACCCTTGGAGGTGGATGGACGACACTGAATATAACAACTCGTATGTTTTCAAACCACTTTCTTTTCTAATGTGATCACTTGTTGTGAAGTGTGTGAGTTGTGTCTATTAGAGAGGAATGGATGTGTCGTGTGAATCCAACTGTACTGCCTCGGAGGTATATTGGCCAACATTTTCAAAACCTTTACTTAGTATGATTTTCCTCAAAATCTTTAGCATGATAATGGCATCTTGGGTAGCTATTGTCTGCTCCATTACCCATTTAATTTTTTTTTGTTGATAAATGACATGTGTAGAATGTAGACCAAACCTCAGAAGGGCAATGAGGGCTCTGAAACTTCATAAAGTTACTGCAGAAGGGCAAGCCTGAGACCCATCAGTCCACTGTGTGCATGACTACACCTGCTCACAGAAGCAGAGGCTTCAAGGCCTTGGAAACCTCCTCTAAAGTCTTGTAACTAGAGAGAACTCAAGACCATTCTTGGATATGAGCATAGTTGTTTTGAATATAGTCATTATACTGAAATGGGAGATCACAGACCCAGTCTTGTCCATCATTAAAGCCCTTTCAGAAATTTACAAAGAAGTGGGTTTCAGTCGGGCAGCGGTGACACATGCCTTTAATCCCAGCACTAGGGAGGCAGCAGCAGGCAGATCTCTATGAGTTCCATGACTGCCTGATCTACAAGAGCTAATTCCAGGACAGGCTCTATAGCTACAGAGAAACCCTCTCTCGAATCCCCACCCCCCATAAGAATGTGGTTTCCCCATATGTGAAATGCTTCATTGAAAATCATGGTGAGGCCACCCATGGCTGTGGTTCATTTGAAGAGGGTAACAAACACTAGTCAGGTGCTTTGTACAAAAGGGTTGGTTCAACATAGATGAATGTCAAAGGTTCTGTGTTCAAATCAAACCCTGAAAATGTAAGACAGTAGGTACAAAACTAGTGCAGATGATTCTCTTGGACTCTGTCTTTGATTCATAATACAAATAAACAGTGCAGACAGGCAAGATTTCCTTGCAGAAGTGAATGTAGTTCTGGGCTCTCCAGATTACTGTTTTTGGTTTATTTTCAGGGTTCCCATCCGAGGAGTGGAAGACTACGCCTACCTGAACAACAATGGGATCAGCAGTGCCAGGATCTATGCAGATAGGAGATGGATCTGTAGCAAGCCCCATAGCTATATCCTCCAATGCCAAATTCCTTTTGTTTCTTTCTAGTCTTTGCCAAGAGATCCTTCGCAATCTGCTATCTATAGTTGCTGCTCTATCCCCTATTTGTCAACACTGCTATCAAAATGATTGAGAATATTTCTTTACATCCAAATGAAATCCATCTTAGAGAAATGCACATACGAGTTTTTACAACAACATAGATGAGTCTAAAATAGGTGTTGGCTCATACCTTCAGCCTAAAGTACAATTAATGTCAGTGAACCCCACTTTTATGGAAAGATGATTTTGTGCAGACAGTCCTCCTCTTGAATTTATGAGATCACCAAAATGAATTCCTCAATGCGCAATGGCTCATGGACTTTAATAAGGAAAAGAAGCTGGCCAGTGGTGTTGCCTGCCTTTAATTTTAGCACTCAGAAGGCAAAAGCAGGAGAATCTCTATGAGTTTGAGACCAACTTCATCTGCAGAGCTATTTCCAGGACAGATAGGGCTGTTACACAGAGAAATTCTGTCTCAAGAAACCAAAAACAAAAAAAAAAAAGAAAGAAAGAAAGAAAGAAAGAAGGAAAGAAAAGTAGGCAGTGGTGGTGAAAGATTTAATCCTAGTACTCAGGATCCAGAGGCAGGCAGAGTTTGAGGCCAGCTTGATCTAAAAAGTAAGTTCTAGGACAGCCAAAACTATGCAAAGACACCATATTTCAGGGAGGAGAAAAAAGAGAAAGAAAAAGAAAAAATGAAAAGCAGAATGACTGGTGTTTTCAGAAATTACTTGTGTTTTGAAAAAAATGAAAGCATTTACTCCCAAATCCAATCCAGTTAATTGGGCAAGCAGCATAGGTATTTTTGATTGAGACCTGTAATTACACCTGTAACCACAGGTGCTTAAAGGTTGAAACAGGAGAGTCACAGATTTACAAGTGGGGTTTGAAAGTATGGGAATCCATTTGTACCCATCCCGTAATTTGGGGACTCACACTACACATTGTTTTTAAAAGTCGTTCCAACATACAGAAAAATTTAACAAGTATTTAACATTAAGATTTACTTTATACTCTCCAATTTAAAACATTAGGGACATTGCCAAACTGTTTCTCTACATTAGTTTTCAATATTTCTGTTTCCAGTTATTCTATTCTAAGTACATCTTAAAAACAAATGTCCTTTTGTTTAGTGATTTGTTTGGATTTATTTTACATCAAATGGCAATTAGTTAAACTCCTCAAGCATTCAATGCTTCATCTCTCAGTAGTGTGTGTACTATTTGGCTCTAAAATTAAAGCATTTAAAATCTTTATAGAGCAACTACACTATACTGATGAGTCCCAAAAAGGATGAAATACCAGGTTGCACAGTATCTCTTGACCTCTTCATCCTTTCCTCTCCCCCTTATTATGTTCAAAAAATACTTTTATATTCATTGCTTTTGAATAAGGATATATATATTAAAAAATAAACTTAAAAGAAAAAAGTGCAAGTCACTTTTGAATAACATATTGTGCTTATTTTATAGCTATATTTTATTATTTATTTGATGAAGCAAAGTATATTTTATTCTGGGAAATGATTCTCAGCCCCCTCCTTTATACGCACACACTCACACACACACACACATACACACATCCATTGCTTTTGAATAAGGATATATATATACTACCTGAGCTTCAGCTCCCCAGAACTGGACATGTAAACTCATGTTGGCACTGTATATGGAACCCAAGTCTTCTGCAGGAACAGCAAGTGCTCTTTACTGCTGAACTATCTCTCCTTCCTTGATGTTTCTTTTATTGATGCTTCTTACCAAACTTTGAAAAGTTAAGTTTTTGTAAAGTGCAAATGCCACATTTTGTATCTGTCCCTTTCTTAATAGGAAAGAGCATGAGTGAGGGTGAAAGGGGGTGGAGTTGGTAACGGGAGGAGGGAAGTGAGGGAAATTTACATTAAAAATAAATTTAATTAAGAAAAAAGTGCAAATCACTTTTGAATAATGTATTGTGCTTATTTTATAGCTATATTTTATTATTTATTTGATGAAGCAAAGTATATTTTATTCTGGGAAATGACTTCTCAGCCCCCTCCTTTATACACACACACACACACACACACACACACACACACACACACGTTTCATTTAGCCCTAATAAAAATTCTTCCTTGCAATTTGTTTTACTTTCTACATCCTTATAAGAAGGTAAAAATCATCCTCAGGGACTAGCAGTGTGTCCAACACAGGAGTCTCCAAAGCAGACTCATGGAATGAATCATGTTGTCACAATTATGACTGTGAGACTGGTTAGTTTCAACTAAGTCCCTAACAAAGAAACCTATATTTCTACAAAAAGTTCATTTTAGTTCATTATATTGGTGAACTTTATCCACTAAAGAAACTTGATAGGTTCATGACCTTATCTGACCCAATAATATTGTTCATAGTAGACTTGAAAAATAGGTCTACTCATACCAACTCCTCAGATTCAGATGAGATAACAAAGGGAAATGTCTTGTCAGTACCTCCATCTGACTTATAATAAACATATAGTAAGTTTTCCTCTATAGCTCTGTGGAAATAATTCTGAAAAGAAAGAGTACATTTTCAAGAGCATTGACACTTCTAAGTTATTCCCTCAGAAGCTGCCAGTGAGCTATTCAAACCAGTTTCTTACAGAGACAGTAAATTATCATTAGTTAAATGAATCATTTAAACAGCATATAGGAAATGATGTGGGATGTGGGATGTGCTTATGCATGCTATAAGTATGTGTTCCTTTTATTGGTTGATAAATAAAGCTCTTTGGCATGTGACAGGGCAGAATATAGCTAGGTTGAATATCCAAACAAAGATATGGAGAGAAAGAAGGCAAAGTCCAGGAGAGATTCCATGTAGCTGCCTAAGGAGTAAGATCTCAATACATTACTGGTAAGTCACAGCCACATGGCAATATATAGATTAATAAAAATGGGTTGTTTTAGGTTGTAAGAACTAGTCGGTAATATGCTTAATCCTTTGACCAAACGGTTATATTAATTAACATTAAGCCTCTGAGTATTTGTTTGGGAGTTGGCAAGAACCTCCATTTACATATGATGCTCCACATCTAGCGTGGATCCACCTAAAAGAGTTTAATGGTTCTGAACTCACAGAAACACAGCTGCACTGGACTTTCTGGTCTCACAGTCTCATGTAGGTCATGTTGCACAGACACTGTGGCATCCCATTTGGGGTTGACCACAGCATGGTGGATTCCCCGTGGTATACAGAGACAACTACAAGTCACGCAGCATACTGTTTGGTAGATTCAGCTTTTACTCATACAGAGAAAAAAAGGGCAGTGTGCTACAAACTGCTTGGTAGTAGTGTAGACCAGAGCTACAGGAATAAGTATGGCTCCCAGAGCAGGAAGTAAACATACCCCCACTATGTTGGAAAATCGAGAAGGATGGAACAAACTGCCATAGTGATCTTTCTGGTCCTAGTCACTCCTGTTTAGTAATTTAAAACAATGGTTACTAAAAAGTTACAGATGCACAATAAAAACAAATTCAGACAAAAAGAGCCTTCAAATAGGTCACAGTGTGTTTGATAAATGTGCATGGGATTGAAAGAGTGAGGATAAAAGATAGATAGAGTCATAGATAAAAATGATAACTCTAGGATAATAATCTGAGGTCCTTAAAAGAGAAATAGAATAAAAAAATATATAGTGGGCCATGTAAAAATGGAAAATATACACAGAGTCTAAATTATGTATATTATTATATTTACTTCAAATTTTTGAATGGTTAATGTGTTAACTACTGAGAGACATTTGATTATGTAGGCTCCTAAGCTATACCACATATGTATTTGAAAAGTATCTTGACTTCAAAATTTGGGTCTAAAGATATATTACCTGGAAAAAAGGTTCTACTTTCGTTTTCACAGAAAAAGAGAACTTGTATATTGCTTCCAGGCTAATATGGTCTGATCAAGCCATACTCCCTGAAACAATGGCCCAGGTGATACACAATCTACAATGTCTGCAGGACTGCTGACTGAAATGGACCAACCACACAGGATAGCCCAGTCAGAACTAAACCATAATTCTAAATTTTCTCAGGGTACCCACAAAGTCACTGTGCCCAACAATCAACAGCAAGTAGTCTAGAGAACTATAACCAAACTCCCAAATGTTGTTTACAAATATTTGTTTTTATTTAAACGGGGTTGATTATAAATGATTATTGGTCACAGTCAATCTCATTCTAAAGAAAAAAAAGGAAAATGATATAGAAATCAATACTTAACATTGGTATGGATTTTAGTTTATTGATACAAATTTGCAAGTTGAATTTTGTTTTATATATATATTAATTTGTGTTTAAGTAAAAGTCATATAATTTTAACTATACATTAAATTTTTAAATGAGCTGCATAAACAAAATACATTAAATAAGAATAGAAATATATATTATGTATTATGTTTATGAAGTTCATTTAAAAATGCAATTAATCCCAGCACTCGGGAGGCAGAGGCAGGCGGATCTCTGTGAGTTCAAGACCAGCCTGGTCTACAAGAGCTAGTTCCAGGACAGGCTCCAAAACCACAGAGAAACCCTGTCTCGAAAAACCAAAAAAAAAAAAAATGCAATACTTAGATAAAAATACAAATACAAATTAATAGTCATCTATAATAAACTTATAGTCATGTTAGGTTTTCTAAATAAACAGAGATATATTTCAGGTGGATAGACAATCTTCAAACACTTTGAAGATCAACAGAATATACCATTTAAAATGTGTTAAGAACTTAGAATTTTCTCGACAGTGAGACACATCTGATGTAGGAGGTCTTTCTATTTTTGTTTTGCTTTCATTAGTTCATGAATAAATGAACGGCCTTGGCCTTTTGATAGGGCAGAACTTAGGTAGGTAGGGAAAACAGAACTGAATGCTGGGAGGAAAAGAACAGAATAGAGAGACACCATGGATCCTCTGCCTGAGATGGACACTGGTTAGAATCTTTCTAGGTAAGCCACTGGCATGTGGTGATATACAACTTAATAGAAATGGGTTAAATCAAGATGGAAGAGTTAGCCAATAAGAGGCTAGAGATAATGTGCCAGGGGTTAATGATTTAATTAATACAATTTCTATGTTTTTATTTCAGGGATAAGCTAGCCAGGTGGCTGGGATGAACAAAAGGGCCCCCTTCCCCTGCTACAATTGGCACAAACCTGTTGGACTAAACCCACTTAAAAACCTGAGAAAGCTTAATGTCAAACACAAAAATACACAGATTAACACAGCTTTTTGCTGCTTGCTGGTGGCATGACACAGCTCATTTTTCTTTTTCTTTTTTTTTTTTTAGTTTTTTTCCCTTTACTTCTTTTTTTAAATTTATTTACTTATTAAAATTTTCCACCTCCTCCCATCCTCCCATTTCCTTCCCACTCTCCTCTTCCTCTTCCCCCTCCCCCTCACTCTCCAGTCCTAAGAGCAGTCAGGGTACCCTGCCCTGTGGGAAGTCCAAGGCCCCCACCTCCAT